GAGAACATGCAGTGTTTGGCTTTCTGTTCCTGTGTTAGTTTGCTGAGAATGATGGCTTCCAGCTTCATTCATGTCCCTGCAAAGGACATGAACTCATTGTTTTTTATGGTTGCATAGTATTCCATGGTGTATATGTACCACATTTTCTTTATCCAGTCTATCGTTTATGGGGATTTGGGTTGGTTCCAAGTCTTTGCTATTGTTAATAGTGTTGCAATAAACATATAGGTGCATGTGTTCTTATAGTAGAATGATTTATAATCCTTTGGGCATATACCCAGTAGTGGGATTGCTGGGTCAAATGATATTTCTGGTTCTAGATCTTTGAGGAATCACCACACTGTCTTACACAATGGTTGAACTAATTCACACTCCCACCAACAGTGTAAAAGTGTTCCTATTTCTCCACAGCCTCGCCAGCATCTGTTGTTTTCTGACTTTTAAATAACTGCCATTCTAACTGGTGTGAGATGGTATTTCATTGTGGTTTTGATTTGCATTTCGCTAGTAATGGTGAGCTTTTTTTCATATGTTTGTTGAGAGTTTTTAATAACGGAAAAATTGGTTCATCCTATAGGAATTTATTTGACTGCATACGAGTATTTTCACCTGAATTGTTTGCTTTTTAAAATAGTTATTTAAGCTTCAGTTTATTTGGAATTGTATAGTTCTTTGTTACCTTCTCAACTAGTGAGCATCACTTAGGAGAGCATCAGAATTATCAATTTTCTTTAGTTTGCTATAGAAAAAACAATGTCTACCTTAGCATAATTTCTGTGATCCAGATAAAATAGGAATCAATACAAATCTACTAAAAAGGAGAAATATTTGTCTTTTTAACTGGCGTTGCCTGAACAAATTATTTTATTGCTTTGAGAACCACAGGGAAGACTAATTGGTGTTGACATAAAAATAAATATTTACATTGATAAACCTTGATTTATTAGGAGAAAAAATAATATCTTACAGTTTAGAGTCAGAATAAATACAGTCTGGTTTTTGTTTTTGTTTTTTTTTTTTGTCTTTGTTACCTTGTTACCAAGGTGTAGGGGATAAATAAGAATTAGCACCTTATCTGAGAATCACCTAATCACCACTCTCCCAGTTGAGAGGGTATGAGAAAGTGATTAAAAGCATCGATATTGAAATCAATCAGATTGTGGCTTGAATTACAATTTATTATCTGTGTGACATTGGGCTAATTGCTGAATCTTGCTCAGACTCAATTTCTGCATTCATGAAATTGGTATTCATTTATTCATTTGTTTATTCAATTATTCAATAAAATAAGCAAAAATACATTTGTCATCATGGAATTTACATCCAATATGGAAATAATAACAGTACCTAGCTTCTACAGTTGTTGTGGGAATTAGCTGATAAATGCAGATAAACTGCTTAGCACAATGCCCAGCACCTAGTACATCTACTAAATTAGAGAAAGTGACTAGTATAGTTTGACACACATATAGAAGAGGTGCTTGTGTGGGAATAGGTGCTTGTGTGGGAATGGGCCCTGGGGAGATAGTAGATTGGGGCCAGATTTTAGAGGCTGAGGTTTATTCAATACTTACTACTGTCAGTCTGTACTAGGTGCTTTAAGCTTGCAACAATCCTGTGAGGCAGATATTGGAAATTAACATTTATTCAATCATTCCTTCATTCAGTCAAAAAACCTTTATTATAAACACAATCAGAAGTGACAAAGGAGGCTGGGCATGGTCACTTACACCTGTAATCCCAACACTTTGGGAGGCCGAGGTGGGTGGATCACCTGAGGACAGGAGTTCAAGAGCAGCCTACACAACATGGCAAAACCCTGTCTCTACTAAAACTATAAAAAATTAGTTGGGTTCGGTGGTACATGCTTGTAATCCCAACTACTTGGGAAGTTGAGGCAGGAGAATCTCTTGAACCCAGGAGGCAAAGGTTGCAGTGAGCCGAGATCATGCCAGTGTACTCAAGGGTGGGCAACACAGGGAGAGTCAAAAAAAGAAAAGAAAAAAGAAATGACAAAGGAGACATTACTACCAACCCCATAGAAACACAAAAACCCTCAGAGACTATTACAAACATCTCTAGACACACAAACTAGAAACCTAGGAGAAATGGATAAATTCCTAGAAACATACAGGAATGAACCAGTAAACAAATGAAACCCTGAACAGACTGATAATGTGTTCCAAAATTGAACCAGTAATAAAAGCCTACCAACCAGAAAAAACCTTGAATTAGATGGATTCACAGCCAAATTCTACCAGATGTATAAAGAAGAGCTGGTACCAATTCTACTGAAACTATTCCAAAAAACTGAGAAGAAGGACTCCTTCCTAACTCATTCTATGAGGTCAGTGTCATTCTGTTACAAAAACCTTACAGAGACACACACACACAAAAAAAACTTCAGGCATACATCCCTGATGAACATAAATACAAAAATTCTCAACAAAATACTAGCAAACTGAATCTAGCAGTATATCAAAAAGCTAATCCACTATGACCAAGTAGGCTTTATTTCTGGAATGCAAGGTTGGTTCAACGTGTGCACATCAATAAATGTGATTCATCACATCAGCAGAATGAAAAACAAAACCACCAGATCATCTTACAGACACAGAAAAGGCTTCCAATAAAATTGAACATCCCTTCATGTTAAAAAAAAAAAAACACCTCTATAAACTAGGCATTGAAGGAACGTACTTCAAAGTAATAAGAGCCATCTGTGACAAACCCACAGCCAACATCATACTAAATGAGCAAAAACTGGAAGTATTCCCCTTGAGAACTAGAACAAGACAGGAATGTCTACTCTCATTACTCCTATTCATCATAGTACTGGAAGTCTCAGCCAAAGCAATCAGACACGAGAAAGAAATAAAAGACATCCAAATAGGAAGAGAGGAAGTCAAACTATTTATTTTCCCAGATGATACAATTTTATACCTAGAAAATCCCATACTCTCTGCTCCAGAGCTCCTAGGTCTGATAAACAACTTCAGCCAAGTTTCAGGATACAAATTCAATGTACAAAAATCAATAACATTTCTATACACCAGCAATGTCCAAACTGAGAGCCAAATCAAGAACACAAGGTCATTAACAATAGCCACACAGAAAATAAAACACCTAGGAATACAGCTGTCTAGGAAGGTAAAAGATCTCTGCAATGTGAATTTCAAAACTCTGCTGAAAAAAATCAGAAACAACAAATACAAATGGAAAAACATTCCATGCTTATGGATTGGAAGAATCAATCATTAAAATGGCTATACTGCTCAAAGCAGTTTACAGATTCAATGCTATTCCTATCAAACTACCAATTACATTTTTCACAGAATTAGAAAAAACTATTTTAAAATTCATATGGAACCAAAATGACCCCAAATAACCAAAGCAATACTAAGCAAAAAGAACAAAGCTGGAGGCATCACACTACCTGACTTCAGTCTATATGACAAGGCTACATAACCAAAACAGCATGGTACTGATACAAAGAGAGACAAATAAACCAATGGAACAGGTTAGAGAACCCAAAATTAAAGCCACACACCTACAACTATCTGATCTTTGACAAAGTTGTCAAGAACAGGCAATGGGGAAAGGACTGTCTATTCAATAAATGGTGCTGGAATAACTGGTTAACCATATGCAGAAGAATGAAACTGGACCCCTTCATTTCACCATATACAAAAATCAACTCAAGATGGATTAAAAAGTTAAATGTAAAACTTAAAACTATAAAACCCTAGAAAAAAACCTAGGAAATACTATTCTGGACATAGATCTTGACAAAGATTTTATGACCAAGACTCCAAAAGCAATTGCAACAGAAAAATTGACAAGTGGGAACTAATTACGGAGCTTCTCCACAGCAAAAGAAACTATCAACAGAGTAAACAGACAATCTACAGGATGGGAGAAAATATTTGCAAACTATGCATCTGACAAAGACCTAATTTGCAGAATCTTTAAGGAACTTAAACAAATTAGCAAGCAAAAAGCAAACAATACCATTAAAAAATGGGCAAAGTACATGAACAGACGCTTCTCAAAAGAAGACATACACATGGCCAGCAAGCATATGAAAAAAAGCTCAGCAACACTAATCATTAGAAATGCAAATCAAAACCACAATGTGATACCATCTCACACCACTCAGAATAGCTCCTATTAAAACATCAAAAAATAACGAGTGCTGATGAGGTTGCAGAGAAAAAGGAACACTTATACACTGCTGGTGGGAATGTAAATTAGTTCAGCCATTAAGGAAAGCATTTTGGAGATTTCTCAAAGAACTTAGAACTACCATTTGACCCTGCAACCCTATTACTGGGTATATACCCAAAGGAATAGAAATCATTTTACCATAAAGACACATACACATGCATGTTCATCTCAGCACTAGTCACAATAGCAAAGATACAGAATCAACTTAAAGGTCCATGGGTGATGGACTGGATAAAGAAAATGTGGTTCATATACACCATGGAATATGATGCAGCCTTAAAAAAATGAGATTGTGTCGTTTGCAGCAACATGGATGGAGCTGGAATCTATTATCCTAAGCAAATTAACACAGGAACAGAAAACCAAATACCACATGTTCTCACTTTTAAGTAGAAGCTAAGCATTGAGAACACATGGACACAAGAAGGGAACAATAGGCACTAGAGCCTATTTGAGGGTGAAGGGTTGGAGAAAGGTGAAGATCAAAAAACTACCTATCAGGCAGTGTGCTCATTACCTGGGTGATGAAATAACCGGTACAACAAATCCCTGCGACATGCAATTTACCCATGTAACAAACCTGCGTATGTAGCCCCCTGAACCTAAAATAAAAGTTGGAAAGAAAAAATAATAGAGTTAAGTACTAAATACACAATCAACTAAATAGCTAAAAGTTTAATATGATTAACTCGGAGAAATAGATATGCGTATTATATATTTGGGGGATTGATGGATAGAAGGTAACGCTTCTTTTAAAAATAAATCTTAGTTGCCCTTGGTAACGGGGGAGGCAGAAGGAGGAGGAGGAGGAGGAGGAGGAGGGACTCGGCGGGAGGATGGGCTTGCTCTCAATTTTGCGCAAGTTGAAAAGTGCACCAGACCAGGAGGTGAGAATACTTCTCCTGGGCTTGGATAATGCTGGCAAGACCACTCTTCTGAAGCAGCTAGCATCTGAAGATATCAGCCACATCACACCTACACAGGGTTTCAACATCAAAAGTATGCAATCACAAGGTTTTAAACTGAATGTATGGGACATTGGTGGACAGAGGAAAATCAGACCATACTGGAGGAATTATTTTGAAAATACTGATATTCTTATATATGTAATCGACAGTGCAGACAGAAAAAGATTTGAAGAGACGGGTCAGGAACTAGCGGAATTATTGGAGGAAGAAAAACTAAGTTGTGTGCCAGTGCTCATCTTTGCTAATAAGCAGGATTTGCTCACAGCAGCTCCTGCCTCTGAAATTGCAGAAGGACTGAACCTGCATACCATCCGCGACCGAGTCTGGCAGATCCAGTCTTGCTCAGCTCTCACAGGAGAGGGCGTTCAGGATGGCATGAACTGGGTCTGCAAAAATGTCAATGCAAAGAAGAAATAAAATCTAGACGAATGGAGACGCAGGAGCTGCGGGAGCCGAATTCGGTCCTGAAAAACACTAATTTGCTGCTTTCTGACCAAATGTTTTTCCGTCTGTGTACAGCTACAGCTGTTTGAAGAGAGGGAACAACACAGTTTAGAAAGAATCCCCATTCCAGCAGTAGATTTAACTGATCTCTGAGGTTCAGTAGCATTTTTCAAATAAAGGAATTATATTATTTCCTCTGCATAAAAAATAAATAAATAAATAAATAAATAAATCTTGAGGTTGCACTGAGCTGAGATGGCGCCACTGCACTCCAACCTCTGTGACAGAGCAAGACCCTGTCTCAATAAAAAACCAACCAAACAAACAAAACAGAAATAAAATAAATCCCGTTGATTATTTGACTTTTTCAAGTTATTTGTGTGTATCACTTGGAAAATAATATAAATTAAATAATATACAGTAATTTTAAAAAACAGCCATTATTGAGGATCTTTTCTATACCAGGCATTGTGCTAGGCACTGGAGATAAGAAGATGGGTAAGACTCAGGGCCTCCCTTGCTGAATCCACTCACAATGACAGTTCAGTGAAGGGCACGCTGTGGTAGAGTAAAGCAGAGTACTTCCCCAGCACCTAACCCAGTCTGAAGGGGTGCAGCTGGATGGTGGAGGCCACTGGAAACATCTCAAGCTTGGGTTACAAAATGACTCCAGTTCTCAAGCAGCCACCCTGCCCCATCCTCAAGTTTTATTTGTGGCTTTCTAGATACTCTCTGGAAAGCTGCGCTATACTTGTGCTCTAGGATAAGAGCTATTTTCAGATATCATATTTCTGCAATTGGATTTCAAGAGAGAAGCAGAGAATAGGGAAAGAATGGGTTGGATGTTTCTCTGGATCTGCTCTCTCACCTTGCAGATGGACCAGGGGAGAGTAGCACTTGGGTAGCTGGACTGTGGCTAGGTGCAGGCAAGGAGTGGGCCTATTCACTTCACTGGACTTGAGTTTATCTTTGTAAGTTGGGAAAATAACTTTTCCTTGGAGTCATTTTTCATATATTCAAAGGAATTATAGTAGAAGACTTTAAAGATCTGCTCCTGCTCTGATATCTCATAATTCTCCATGGAGGAGGGTAGGTCACCATATCGTAATGCTTATTTGGGGGTATGTGGAATGCAAGGTTACACTAGCACACACTCAGGTCTGTTTCTCGTTGAGGTTTCCTCTCGAATCTGTATAGAGCTCATCCTGAAGATACAGAAATATTGGTGTTTTGAGGGAATGAGTGAAGAAATTGTCTGAGGAGGAACTTTTATAAATTTAGTGGAAGATATTTAATCATTTGGAAGCAGTAGATTTTAGTTTCTTATTTTTCTGTCTCTGAAATAGTTAAAGGACATAGATAACAGAAAGCCTATTGACAGCCAGATTTTATTCAATTTTCCTACAGAAGGCACAGCGATCTGGAATAATTCCCACCATCCCAACTAGTTTCTCTATTTACTTTGTCTTAAAAATTCTTCTTGGCAACTTTTCTTTTGAAAATTAAAACTTTGATCTTTGGGAAGTAACAGTTCAGAATCTTTTTAAAAAAAAATGGCATTTGGATACAGTATTAACCAAACTTCCAGTTCAAATCAGAAAATTTCTGAGATCTTTTTTGAGATTTGTTTTCATTAGCTTTTTATTATCTCCCCCTGTGTTTACTTGTGTTTGTTTTTATGAGTAAGGCACGCTTTAATTTGTCTAATAAATATGTTCCTGAAATAGGAGTCAAGCTGCATTTAAAATGTTGTTAGGATTTGTTGTTCAAATGGCCACTACTCTGAATTTATTTTGCAATGTAACTTATCTGGCCCTAATTTCATGTATGCTTGGATTTTGATTTATTTGGTTTGTCTAAAGCAAGGCACATCAGTTAACTATTGGATCTATTCCTGTTTATTACTCTCATAAAATCTAGAGCTATCACTTTAAAATTTTAAAATCCAGAATCTCATGTGATTAGCACTGTTCTTGTTAATAGCAATGTAGTTTTCCTTTATTTATAATATATTTATATCCATGATAGTTTACTATATAATTTCATTATATAAATAAATGGGCTTATTAAGTTTGAGTATTTTCATTTTACTGATTGTATAACTATAAACTGTGACTAGGGATATTGATACATTTGTGGACATTTATGCACTGAAAATTATACAGGACATTGAATGTTGGGCTGAGAAACCTGGACTCTTCCTGCTGTTTGTAAGAGGAAGCATTTTACTCAGTTTGGGGGCAGCGTCCTGGAGGAATGATCAGGAAGGTTCTGAAAAGCCATCTTGATCACATATATGTCTCTTAGCATGAGATTCTCAATATTGTAATTACTGAAGCATTTGCTCTCTGGTATTGACATCTCCTTTACCACTGACTGTGGTTCTGCATCAGCTTGTGACCTGAAAGACCAACCAGTCAGGAGGCAACATTAGGATGTGTATGGATCCATTTAAAGGGGTCATGTCTAGGGCAAGACTAGACTAGTATCAAATATGGGATGCTGGGCAGCCCAAGACAACTTTCAATAGTTTTGCTTAGGGCACACCTATTTTCTCTAAATAGCTATGTTGTACATGCAAAAGAGTTGTAATTAATGTGTTATATTAGATTCGTTTTCATGTGCTTCATTTTTTTTCTTCTTGATTTGGCAGCTTTTCTGTTTTAGACAATTATACATGAAAATGGAAAATCTCAAGTTCCCTTCTATATAATTTGCTTTAGTTCTCTCATGGGGGCAGCCTGGGCATTTTTAGCAACCTGGGAGTAGTTCTTCTAAGTTTATTCTGAAGTATGTTTACATACAAGTTTGGCTATAAAAAAGTAGACATGAAATGACTCTAATGTTTTATAATGAAACTCAATTTCAAAAAATATTCATAATGAAAACCATTATTAATTCTACTATTTAGTTGAAATTTTTTTCATTTCCAATGAGTTTCAAAATGGTACCTTTAGTTGCTTCTTTGATACACAATGGTATCAAAGTGGAACTATTTTCAAATTGTCTTCTGTCTTCTAGGTGGATGAAAAGGAGAACTTTGGTTCCCCATCTCTATTTCAATTAGAGTTTTAAAGTCCGCTTTAATTTATTTTTATATCTATTCTCTGATGACACTTTGAAACTCCAAAATAATGATGAAAAAGATAATGGAAACTCTAAGCGATGGGGAACTTTCATAAGTTATCCAGGGATCAAAAAAATAATGACAGTGATTGCTCATTAATCCTGCCAGGAGGTGCTGGGCTAATTCTAAACCTTTAGTTATGTATCAATAAGCAAGTACATCACTGTGTAAGCTAGGGTTAATGCTTAGCTACTTAGGAAAAAAAGAGTGTGAATTTTATTGTTACTTTATTAAAAGAATAGTATAATTATTTATTCTAATAATAAACATTAACCAGTATTTCTAATACTGAAAATTTTGAAGGTGTTACAATTGGAGTAAAATTTAAAGAAATATAATATAGAATCTTCTCACCAATACTTAATAAACCTGTATCTCCTTGCATCCCTATCTAAATCCAACTCTACTTGATTTGAGTTTTGGATATCCAATTGATATATCAAATTTTAGGCCTCTTTGCAACCTATTTTCTCCAAAGCCTTTCCTATTCCAATAAAAGACCACACCATTCCCCCAATTGTTCAACTCTCAAATCTTTTTCTTATTACTCAAATTAATCAATTCATCAGCAAGTCCCTGTTGGCTTGAAATATATCCCAGTCTCTCCTTTCTCTCTGTTTATACAGTTACCATCCTGATCATGATCCAAGCCACCCTCATTTCTTGTCTGGACTACTGGTATAACCTCCTGTTGGGTCCTCCTGATTCCACTAGTGCTCCATAACCATGTATTCTCTTTAGGGTAGCCAGAGAGACACTTTAAAACTGTAGATCAGATCATGGCCCTTTTATGCATTAAAAAACTGCCACAGGCACTTTTGGCACTGTATCTAAATTCTCAGCCCTGGCTTCCAAGGTCCTACATGATCTAGGTCTGTCTTCCTTTGAGACACCTTTCCGTCTTCTTTCCATCATGTTCAACACTCTCCAGCCATAGGGATTTTTCTGTTCCTGACACATACCAAGCTCATTTCAGTCTTAAGGTTGTTACACGTCTTCATTCCTCTTCTTGGCTCTGGTTTCCAGATCAGCTGCTGCTTGTCACTCAATACCCCTTCCCTGGGAGATCTTTTCCAAGTTAGTCCCTTGACCTTCAAGTTACTCTTTTCTTATAGCAGCACGATTATCTCATTCATTTACTTGTTTATTGCCCATCTCTACCTCCTCCACTGTGATGTGTAAGCTACTAGAGAACAGCAACCTTATCTTCATGGGAATTTCTCATTCCCAATAATTAGCACAGTGCCTGGAATGTAAAAGGGGCTCAATAAATTTTGTTCAATTAGTCAATCTATTAATTCAGTATTTTTCTTCTTTTATTTCATAAATTTAAGGAGACAAATCTTTAGTTATTTTTCTCAGTTTCTTTCAGTTTGCTCTTACTATTATATCAATCTCTAACTCTGGAATTATGTGGAGAGGCAGGAAAAAATAGCACTTTCCTCTACTAAATCCATCTCTGAGAGTTGCTCAGTTTAAGGAATTATGTCCTTTCCTTAAGGTTTGATTCTGATGAAATTCACCTTGAAGTTTTAGCATTTCTCTTTTGATAGCCATTCTCTGCACTTCCTTCACTGTGCAGAAACCAAAAGAGGGAGATTAATTAATCCCAGTGTGCGCAAGAATGATATTCCATGATTGTCTCTTTAAGGTTACAAGGGTATAACTAACCCTCTCCGCCTTATCTTATTTCCATTTGTGGATATAGATTTGTTAGTCTGAATTTTCTTTCCACATCCAAAATAAAATATACTTGTTCGACAGTTAAATAAAACTGCACAAACACTTAAAGCAGAGATAAAATGCAAGTAGTTTCACAAAGGGCTTGCGCTATTCTTGGGATGACCTTGTGCTGCTCACAAACATCCCTCCGTCAAGGCCATTTACCAAATCCTTCTACATCCTTGTATGTACTAAGGAGGAAAAAGCATGCTGCAATACTTTGTGTACTAGAGGATTCTATTTATTTTTTAAAATGCATTGAGGCTGGGCACGGTGGCTCATGCCTGTAATTGCAGCACCTTGGGAGGCTGAGGCAGGTGGATCACCTGAGGTTAGGAGTTCGAGAGCAGTCTAGCCAA